ATTGCTCCGCGTACTAAAGTTGTACTAGAAAGTCGCCAGTTCTCAGCAGTGCCTGCCACGAAACCTCCACATGGAGGTTCACAAAGCGCTGCGCCTGCCACGAAATCTGTACATGGAGGTTCACAAAGTGCTGCACCTGCCACGAAATCTGCACATGGAGGTTCACAAAGTGCTTTGCCTGCCACGAAATCTGCACATGGAGGTTCGCAAAGTGCTGTGCCTGCCACGAAATCTGCACCTGGAGGTTCACAAAGTGCTGTGCCTGCCACGAAATCTGCACATGGAGGTTCACAAATTGCTGCGCCTGCCACGAAATCTGCACCTCGAAGTCACGAAATCTGCACCTGGAGGTTCACAAAGTGTTGCGCCTGCCACGAAATCCACAAAGTGCCGCACCTGCCACGAAATCTGGACATGGAGGTTCACAAAGTGCTGTGCCTGCCACGAAATCTGCACTTCAAGAAACAAGTGAAAACTCTAATCCCAATGGAGGGTCGATTCCGAGCATGATCCGAGAATGACCCGAGACCGTCTCGCACCCATCGTTCCGCAGAGCTAGACTTGCCAGGTTTGAAGCCACCGGTTCTATTGAAAAATACAGCATTTCGTGCGTCCGCTATCTCTCCAAAACACATTTTGTATTGCGCCTGCCATGAAATCTGCACCTGGAGGTTCACAAAGTGCTGTGCCAGCCACGAAATCTGCGCATGGAGGTTCACAAAGTGCTTCGCCTGCCACGAAATCTGCACCTGGAGGTTCACAAAGTGTTGCGCCTGCCACGAAATCTGCACATGGAGGTTCAAAGAAACAAGTGAAAACTCTAATCCCAATGCGACGATTCCGACCATGATCCGAGCATGATCCAAGAATGACCCGAGACCGTCTCGCACCCGTCGTTCCGCAGAGCTAGACTTGCCAGGTTTGAAGCCACCGGTTCTATTGAAAAATGCAGCATTTCGCGCGTCCGCTATCTCTCCAAAACGCATAAGTGCTGTGCCTGCCACGAAATCTGCACATGGAGGTTCACAAAGTGCCGCGCCTGCCACGAAATCTGCACCTGGAGGTTCACAAAGTGCTGTGCCTGCCACGAAATCTGCACCTGGAGGTTCACAAAGTGCTGCGCCTGCCACGAAATCTGCACATGGAGGTTCACAAAGTGCCGCGCCTGCCACGAAATCTGCACCTGGAGGTTCACAAAGTGCTGTGCCTGCCACGAAATCTGCACATGGAGGCTCACAAAGTGCTGTGCCTGCTACGAAATCTGCACATGGAGGTTCACAAAGTGCTGCACTTGCCACGAAATCTGCACATGGAGGTTCACGAAGTGCTGCACCTGCCACGAAATCTTGCCATGGAGGTTCACAAAGTGCTGCGCCTGCCACGAAATCTGCACATGGAGGTTCACAAAGTGCTGCGCCTGCCACGAAATCTGAGTCATCTCACCAGTGGTGTATGATGAGTGGTGTATGATGAGTGGTGTGTGATGAGTGGTGTATGATGAGTGGTGTATGATGAGGGGTGTATGATAAGTGGTGTATGATGAGTGGTGTATGATGAGTGGTGTATGATGAGTGG